CATATACATATACATATACATATACATATATATATACATGTATATATATATATATATATATTGTGAACAGCAGATGAGATCAACCCCTTGGTCCCAAGGTCTTGTTAATTCCAGAAAACCTTCAACCTAAACCTCGGGACTTGGAATGGCGAACCACATACGAACCCACTACGTTAGCTGTGGTGTTGAGCAGGAAAGCGGCGAAACTGTTTGCCATCAAAGTTCAGTGGCAGGTGACAGTGACTTGACTCGCTTGAATACCACCAGCAATATTTATGTATATATACTGAAACATGTTGAAACTAAATAGTAAAGAAAAGTAGCAAATATTTTCACACCATGGATCAAATTCAGTCCCTTTGACTACAAACTGTTCACTTCCCGAGTTCATATTTTACTCTGTGAAGTCCTCAACGCCTATTCTGTCCCTTTTTCCGTTTCCTTGGAGCTGGTCAGTACATGATGCCCGAAAATAGTTTCATTGAAACATAGGTATGGAAATTTACCTTGAAATAAATAGCCAATAAAGAAAACGAAATCGCTAGATCAATTTTTATTATCCACTCTTATGCTCATGAATAAACTTTCCTCATCGAATGTAAAAACTCTCCGAGTAGCACCGTGATTCCGTATCTAGTCACATTTGTTCTTGTTTTCGCCCCGTTCGTCCCTCTTGTTCACCGTCCTATCCGCTCACAGTCCAGCTATAAGGCAGTCACTGCCTCTAGCCCGATGTTTGCGATTGATTGTGAGATGGTCCAGACCAAAATTGGTAGTGAGTTGGCCCGAGTCACAATGGTGGACGAGTTAAACAGTGTCGTATTTGATCGTTTGGTTCGTCCGGAAAATCCTGTCGAGGATTATGTAACTCGGTAAGTCGAGATTGGACCGATGCGTTTTACCGCGGTCACATTCTACTTCAGTCAGTTGTCCACTGGAACGAGTGCGATGTTTTTCCGGCCGGTGACTTTGCCTAATCACAACAAAGCAGGCAAATTTCATAGTTATGTCGATTTTTTGGTTAGTGAAAAGTGAAATGTATAGAACACTGTTGGATAAGCTCCACTCTAAATCGCACAATCTCGAGACTGCCAATCAGCAAAGCAAGGTCATCGTAATGACGTTCCAGTATTTCCCGTCCCCCCATGTACCCATCGACATTTTTACGGATACTTTTCACTCTAATTCAGTTGTGTTTAGAAGAAAGTATTTGGTCCGCAGGTTCGTTTATGAATTTGTGCAACGGCTTGGACTGATGTGTTGCAACCTCAGTGTGTCCCATTCTTCAATGTCTATCACATAGTTGGCTGTTTGTTTGGATGCTGGTGGAAGGAAAGTACACGGCTACTGGCAAAATTGGTGTATCAACAGTTTTGGTGGGTTCTTTTTTATTCTCACAGAAAGGACAAATGAACAGTTCCTTATTGTTGTGCGACGTAGTATGGTGTTTGTAAACTGTGCAATGTTGTACCTGGGTTAAATACTGCTTGTCTTGAGCGAAAGCATTTGTTCGCTTCACAATTGACGGACCTGTCGCTTTTTCACGTATTATTGTGGCTTAGTTTTATTCGCTGATACTTTGCCTATACAACCTCTCCCCCACCGTTTCTCGCCACCAGATTCAGTGGTATCACTCGGGATATGCTGGAGCCGGTAACGACGACCCTGTCCGATATACAGCGCGAATTAGACGAACTACTTCCCCCGGACGCCATACTTGTGGGTCACTCTATTTCAAACGATTTGCAAGCCATGCGGGTGAGTCTGTGATCCTCCAATTAATCTCTTAGCCATTCGGTGTTTAGTTAGCTAATACGGCATCAGTCCTTTGACCCGCACGATTTCCAGTTCCTCGTGTTCCCATCGAAACTGGTTCCAGTTAGTTTCGTTATTTTAAAGATGTATAATAGATGAAGTTGCCCTGTTTGATCCTAACCATACTGCCATACTGCTCTCTGATCCTATTTATTCCATTTGTCTCTCGTGTTCTCTCGTATTGAATTCGTTAAGTGATTCGGTTGAACGGATTCCGACATTTTCCTGTGAATCAAAATTCTATCTAGTTTTACCGATTATTTTTCTGTTTCCCCAACGATGATGACAATATTAATAACGATAACGGAATGTGTATAAGCCTATTCTGTTACCGCAGCATACAAAATCTTCTTCCGTTTCTCAAAGTGACTTTGCGCTTTCTCATTCGACAGATCTACCACCCCTACCTGATCGATACCAGTGNTGTGATATACAATCTGAGAGGGGCACGAGCTGCCAAAGCGAAACTGCGTTTCTTGGCGGAACACTTTCTTGGGTAAGTGGCAAGAAAATAATCACGAGAACTTCTCTCGGATCCCAGTGGTTTTGACGCGCCATAAAAAGTGATAATTTGTTTGGTGAACGCAGAAACGAAATAAAAACGACTTATTGTGACTGAAGTGAAAACATTGTTGATTGCATGTATATGTGTCATAGATAAGTTTTTCTTCAAACGGAGCACGGTTACAGCCTGGTGCCTAGAAAGTACAAAGTTTAGTAAATACAAGGTTTATTGAGTGAAAACAGTACTTACCACGATTATTTTAGGTTTCTATAAAATTGCATTCTTTAGATCGAAAATCAGTAGAAATATTCCGGTAATAATATGCTTAGTGAATTATTACACAAGGATATGAAATGACCCTGTAGAGGTCACTAGCGAATAAACTTGGAGTTTCGCAGTCAAAAACTCCTACAGACGTAAGAGTGATGTACCTGAGGCTTCGTCGAAACGATGCGAAATATCTTCGTACTTCAATGAACAGGTGCGATCCGCTGAAGCTGGTCA